AGAAAGTGGGCAGAGTCTGGGTGGGATCTCCAGTCCACTGGGTGGACCTTAGGCAGACTGTGAATAGGGTTAGCAGTGTTCTATAGAATGGAACTGAAATCTTGGTAAGTAAAGCCAACCATAGACAGATCAAAATTAAATGTAGCTCAGGAAAGGCGGCCAATCACCGGCGAGGAGGTGGAGCTGAGCGGCCTCGCGAAAATCGAGTGAAGGAGATGCAGTAAGTGTGCCATGCTTTGGTGCTTCTGCAACCACATATGCTGGCTGCAGCAGCACCATACTAGAACAGGGGTCAGCAAGTGTCAGTGGGAGGAATAGTGCCCCATCATTGGTGTCACTCATACCAATGATGGGGCATTATTCCTCCCACTGACACCAACGATGGGGCACTTTTCCTCCCCCCACTGACACCAATGATGGGGCACTATTCCACCCCCCACTGACACCAATCATGGAGCACTATTCCACCCCCCACTGACACCAATGATGGGATACTATTCCTCCCCCCCCACTGACACCAATGATGGGGCACTTTTCCTCCCCCCCACTGACACCAACGATGGGGCACTATTCCTCCCCCCCCACTGACACCAATGATGGGATACTATTCCTCCCACTGACACCAATGTTGGGACACTATTCCTCCCACTGACACCAATGATGGGACACTATTCCTCCCACTGACACCAAAGATGGGGCACTATTCCACTGACACCAATGATGGGGTGCTATTCCCCCCACTGATACTAATGATGGGGCACTATTCCTGCCACTGATACCAATGATGGGGCACTATTCCTCCCACTGACACCAATGATGGGGTGCTATTCCTCCCACTGACACCAATGATGGGGTGCTATTCCTCCCACTGACACCAATGATGGGGCACTATTCCTCCCACTAATACCAATGATGGGGCACTATTCCTCCCACTGACACCAATGATGGGGCACTATTCCTCCCACTGATACCAATGATGGGGCACTATTCCTCCCACTGATACCAATGATGGGGCACTATTCCTCCCACTGATACCAATGATGGACACTATTCCTCCCACTGACACCAATGAAGGGGCACGGTTCTTCCCACTGGTGTGCACTGAAAGAGGGGTTGTCTTATACGGCGAGTATAGCCCAAACACTACATTTTAACAGGAAAAGTTGGGGGTCGTCTTATACGCCAGAAAATACGGTAAATAAATTGTGATGAGGGATTGCCAATCTTCCAATAGCGACCATGTGCTATGGTAACCTTTCTGAAACGACCACACCTCGTATGCTCAAATGCTCACGGTATAAAGCCCATCAGTTATACTGTTTCTTCTTATCTGTTGTTAAAAGTGAAAAACTTCTGATTTCTTTTTTGCAGTTCTATGCACATACAATTCTATGTACATACTGTGAAAAGCTGAAAAATATTGTTTGCTAAAGTTCCTGATGCATGGTAATAGAAGAAAATACTTTTGTTAACACGCACAATAGTAATTGCTCAAGATTAAAGATTCACATGCAGAATGAGTATAGCAATTCAATAAAAAGCTAAAGTGACTAGGATCTGATTCAGCAGTTAAAAGAATGGAAAATCCTATTTTAAGATTTAACAAAAATGAGTGCAAAAGTGAAGAACAAATAAGAAACATTGACGTCAGAATCTGTGCTAGAACATTATCCTGCTAGAGAAATGCAATTTTTAATGGAATAAAGTCTTTAGGAACAAAGTTATATATGCATGAGAAATAAAATAGAATGAACTAAGTGAGCAGGAAATGGAAATAAGTTGGGATATGATCTGAGATTCTTTATTACCTAAGGGATAACGATACCTATTGAAAATGAACAGCTGGTCAGACACTTGCTAGGTCAACTAAGACAGCCCATGGATGATTCTTTTTTTTTTTTTTTTTTTCCATTTAACCAGCAGGGTTGACAAAAAAAATTATTTGATTCCCCCATCCACACATTCAAGGTGGATGGGGGAATCCTCCCTGCTGAGTCTTTGTATTCTGACAGCAGGGAGACTTCTGTACAACCACCTTGCCCATACATAGATCGAAATTTGCAAGGTCCTTGCTGAACCTACCAAATTTCGATCCATGTATGGCCAGCATTTGGCCTTTGATGTAGTACTGCTTTATGCAGGCAGTGCCTCAAGACTTTTTTTGGTATGTGACAGCTTAATGCCAAATTTTTTTTTGATCTTTGGCTGGACTAACTTTAGCTTTTAAGGCACTGCAAGTATAACATGATATTCTGTATGAGTAAAGTAAGTATTTTATGTAACTTTCTACCAGAAATTCAAGGACATGTTTAAAATGTATTTTTGAAAACTGACAATTTTTATTGATTTATATACAAACAATCAGTACAAGGCAGCCGTTAGATACAAGTACAAAAGTTCCACAACATGGTGAACCAAAACACAAGAAAACACAATAAAATACTCCAAGCATAGTCAAATCACACCCATTGGGGTTTATTTACTAAAGCTGGAGAGTCCAAAATCATACTCCCTTCTGCATAGAAGCCAATCAGCTTCCAGGTTTCATTGCCAAAGCTTCATTGAACAAGCTGAGGTTAGAAGCTGATTGGTTTCTATGCAGAAGGGAGTCTGATTTTGGACTCTCCAGCTTTAGTAAATAAACCCCATTGTGTCAAGTGACAATGTTAGGTGTTAAAAAATGGTTAGAAAAAAAAGGAGAGAAGCGCCTCTAAGTGCAATAAGTCTTTTAATTCAAGTCTAAATGTAGAAACACTCACATGTGTGAAGTAATCATAAGCATAAAAACCGTGGTTAACAATAGTTAACGGTGGGGTGGTAACCCGGGTGAAGAGCCGTCATCTCTGCGATGTGGGGAGGTCAGCTCTCGGCTGGAACAGCGTGGTGGCTGTTCCAGCGAGAGCTGACCTCCCCACATCGCAGAGATGACGGCTCTTCACCCGGGTTACCACCCCACCGTTAACTATTGTTAACCACGGTTTTTATGCTTATGATTACTTCACACATGTGAGTGTTTCTACATTTAGACTTGAATTAAAAGACTTATTGCACTTAGAGGCGCTTCTCTCCTTTTTCTCATCTACAGAAGTTGCTACAGCTTATTTGGAAGCCTTGCCCTCAGTGCCACACGGAATCCTACGCTCTTCATACAGTAGCCACTAATACCACGATCACCCATACTACCATTTCCCAGGACTTTGCAGTGTTTGCGCTGTTACAACCCTTCCTCATTTTTTCTGTTAAAAAATGGTTAACCAGAAAAAAGGAGCAAAAAAGTATAAAAACAAAAAGCAACGCAAAGGCAATTCACACCAGTCTCTTCATGCAATGGTTGTATGAAACAGTATGCATTTAAAGAAGAAAATAAAACAGCTAGCATAAATATGTATGGAAACAATACGGTAATCCTCACACGTTCAATGGTATAGTTACAGTATATGAGGTACTCTGCACAAATCTAGCATACCCTGTATGAACAATAAAAAAGAAAAAGAATATAATAAGAAAAATAAAAAATATAATAAGAAATATAAGAAGGGAAAGAGAACAGAAAAGTGGGTGGGAGAAAATAAAAAGGAGGGAAATAAGATGCCCACCGGCCTTGGCTCCCAAGCTAGTCTAAAAGCTACTGAAATCAAGCTCCAAGGATATACAACAATGGAGCTCTGCAAAACAGGAAACAATTAAAGGATTTTCCATCAAATCCCACAATTACCAGATTTACTTGTCTCTCTCTAGAGTATCAGTTATAGAGACGATTAAATATTCCATCCTTTTTACATCCTGAATCCTCGTATGGAGCTCAGTCAAGGAGGGAGGCTCCCTTCTTTTCCACTTAAAGTGTTACTAAACCTACAACAGTAAAATCAGTCTGTATATGCAGTAAAGCATGCTTGTTATACTCACTGTGGAACCTAAGGGGTTAATCCTCTGCATTGTGTAAGAAGGCTGTTTGATCCTGCCTTCTCTGTTCCTCCCTTTCTTCCAGTGTTCCCCTCTTATCTCCTGATAAGACATATCGTGTGGAGACACTCTGCACATGCTCAATTTGGTGTGTATTGCTGGAGAGGTTTTTTTTTTTTTTTCTTGGGAGAGTGCATGTGATCAGCACATTGCCAATCAGCACTGTCCAGACATAGGTAAGGGGTTTTGCTTCCTCCTAGAGTAATAGGAAAGCTCATCCTACAAGCTTTAACATGTGCTTGGCTGAAAACTGATAGAAGTCACAAGGCTGATCTCGCTGCTGGTGAGAAAATATATTTAGCAGGTTATATTTACTAAAACAATTGCAATTCCATGTTTTGTGTACTATGGGAGACCAGATATAGTGAATGCAGGGAACTGGGTGTAGTAACACTTTAGGTGCTATGAAGCATCTTGCAGTCATCAGTACATAATTTAGAGGTTTTTGTTTTCAATGTTTTTGAACATTTTGTGGAGGGAGTACTAAAAGAAATATTTTAGGGGTAAAGGGGATATATGATCCAAAGAGGAACTGTATAAGATTATGAATGGCTTCCCAGTAAGTAATAAGCACTGGGCAAGACCAATAAATGTGGGGTAGTGTTGCTAGTTTTTTTTTTTACATCACCAACAGCAGTTATCAGTGGTGGATTATGTAGAGTGGGGTAACTCCAGAGTTTGGCAGCAATGAAGGACAATGTTGCACATATTTTCTTTATATAGGTGCAAATTGAGTCTTCAAAGGTTACTCCTCACCCAGGAAATGCTTCCACTTTTTCATGTATGAATGCTTAAAGGGGGTCTGGAAAGGGATGGAAACAAGGATTCTGTAAATGTGACTGATCAAACCTTTGGAAGACGTACCTGCTAAGCAAACTCTTTAGAACTCTGTCTATTTGGAAAACTGGAGGCAGTTAGTAAGGAATTCAAGAATAAAGTGCCAATATTTTTGCTATTAAATTGGGTCACAAGTAAGAATTGCCAGGTCACCCAATCAATTGCTTTTTCGGCATCAATTGAGAAGAGACTAGAGGCTCTTGGTTTTAACACTATGGGTGATCATTGAGCTGGTTTTTATTATGTTGTGTTCAGGGCGGACTGACAACTCATGGGGCCCCGGGCAATAGGGGATCATGGGGCACCTGTGTCCTTGGTCAAACTCAAAAAAGCCTATGAAAAAGGTATCAGGGGCATCTCATGGGGCCCCCTACTGACCCCGGGCCCTCGAGCAGTGCCCGAGTTTCCAAATGGTCAGTCCGCCCCTGGTTGTGTTGTTTCTAGCCTCATGCACTGACACAATTCCAAATTGTCAAGGTGGATAAGAAATATGGGAGTGAATCCTATTAATGGTGACTTTGGCATATATTTTGAGATCTAGACTGAGGAGCGAAATAGGCCTGTATTACTGGAGTATTGAGCTGGGTCTTCACCTTCTTTGGGTATGATGGTGATGTGAGCTTCTTGTGCCTGTTTAGGAAAGGGGCAGGACTCATAAATGGAGTTAAAATGTGGTATTAAGAATGGGAGTCAACAGATCATGGAATTGTTTATAGAATGCTACAGTGAATTCATCAGGCCCTGAAATCTTTCTAGAAAGTAAAAAAGCTATTGTGTTTTATTTCTTGGGAGGTAAATGAGGAATCTCAGAAGATTATTGATCTAAAACTGGAATACCAGTCTTTCTATAAATGCTTGAAAGCTCTTCAGATGGAAAGGATAAGAAGGTGGTTTGTTGGGATTAGGGAGGTTTTAAAGATCAGTATAAAAGGTATGGAAATCCAAGACTATCTCCTTCAAGCTATAAACCAGTTTAGAACTGTAAGTATGTATTTTAGACACAATCAGTACTGCCCCTCTTGAAAAATTCCGCCCTAGGCAAATGCCTTGTTTGCCTTATGGTAAATAAACCCCTGGGTGGGGGGGAGCTTTGCCACCCCCTTGCAAGGTATCTCACCAATGTAGAAAGGCATGTGACCTTTTATGGTTCAGGATGAGACTGCACACACACTGCCCTCCCTTTCCTGGTCACACAGACTGTATGCCTAGCTAAGAATATTGCATGTTATTTTAACAAATTTTATATGTCCCTCATTGCAGTGTCTAGATACACACTGTCTCTCTCACTTTCACTTCATTCATCCCTACTGGCAGGCTCAGGGAGGCATCACTCCCTCTACAGTGATTCTGCCACTGAGGGAACATTGCCTCATTGATCTGGCCAGTGAGGGAACTGTGTTCTTAAATAAGTAACTCATTTTCTTGCCCTCTCTAGTAACCATGTTGCTGGTGAGTTGTAGCCAGCAAGAGCGTCAAATAGATGTGGCATAGACCTAAAAAATCTCAATAGAAAAAAATTAACAGGCTGTGATCAAAAACTGCATGAAGAAGTATGCCAGACAAGAGCATAAGATCACAGAGGATTGTCAAATATTGCCAGGGTAGATAAAATGGGTCCAATCAGAAATAAAGACAAATGACCATGAGGGATAGGTGCAGGCTTCATTTCCACTTATAAATCAAAGTATGAAGCTCACAGTTCTTCTACCCATTGTAGTCAGACCTCTTTCTGTACCTTTGGAAAATTATTTTATTAGAATCAGGGAAGTGAAAGAGCTAGAATTGACAAATGGAACTTAGTTAAAGAGTTGGGTACCTACCTGGCAGATGAGGTTCAATACAAAGAAATGTAAAGATTTACACTTGTGTGCCAAAAATACAGATGCACATTACACATTAGAAGGGGCTTTCCTGGGAGAATCATTCATAGAAAAGGATCTTGGGGTGCTTGCAATACCATACAATACCAAGCCGCAAGTTACAAAGCTAGCAAAATATCACAATTAATTAATAATGGCATGCATTCAAGAGACAAATTAACAAGCCAACATCTCTAGTTTGGCCTCATCTTGAATATGCAGGTCAGTTTTGGTCATTAGTTCCTGGGAAATACATTGTTGAATTAGAAAGAGTTCAGTTAAGGGTAACAAAATTATTAAGGGTGATAGAGAACCTCAGCTATGGGGATTGATTAGATTAATTATTCACACACTGGAGAAGAAGAGACTGTTAAAAGGGATATGATTATATTGTACAAATATATCAAAGGTGACTTCCATAACTGGGATAAACTGTTTACAGTAAGGTCACTGAAAAGGACACATGGACACAATTTGAGATCAGGGAAGGCAGGTATAACTTTAGATTGAGGAAAATATACTTTACTGTTAGAGCAATAAAATGCTGAACTACTTGTCCAGGCTGTGGTACTAGCTGAGAGTGTCGACAACTTCAAAAATGGGCTATGGGTATTGTTAGAGAATAAAAATTACACATATATACACATACCTGGGTTGAACTGAATGAACCTGTGTCTTTATTTAGGCTTATAAACTATGTACAATTGAATGGAAGCATTCTACCTGTACTTTTAGGAACTCTCATGTTAATGACCAAACTCTGACCCAAAATTGTATATATTTTGTCAATCCACTGGTCTTTTTTTAAATCAGAAGAGAAGGCAAAAATTGTAACTTCCGAATCTCAGTTTTATATGTCCGCATATAGTATATGTATCCTAGACATATGTGAAATTAGGTGTTCTACCAAATGTTGAAAATCAGGAACTTGTAATGGAATAAATCTTAAAGTGGTTCTAAAGCCTGAAGTTTTTTTTTTACCTTAATGCATTCTCTGCATTGAAGTAAAAAACCTTCTCTGAGTGCAGCTCCCCCCACCCCCCAGCTTCCCTATTACTTACCTGAGCTCGATCTCATCCACCACTGTGCAAAAGGGCAGCAGTTATCTCAGCTCCCTCCATCCCCCTCATTGGTTCCCGCTGCTGTCAATCACAGCTAGTGAGAAGGGTGTTGGGGGGTGGGGCTGAGCTATGCTCTGTGTGGCAGAGGGGGACTCGAGAAGAAGAGAAATGGGTCTGCCCTGTGCAAAACTATTGCACACAGCAAGTAAATATGACATGTTTGTTATTGTAAAAAAATATGGCTTTACAATCACTTAAAAAGTATAACTAAAGGCAAATGTCTTGTTAGACTTGGATGGAGTGGTGAGGTGTTAGAACAAATATCAGGTTCCCTAATTTTTGGCTCTGTTCTCAATCACTAATGCAACAGGAAATTAAGGTGAATCCAAAATTTGAGTTGCTACCAGAACAGGAAAAAGTGAAAATCTCCCTGCTTGAACACTTGTTCCTGTAACAACTATCTAAAAGAGGATTCCCACCACATTGGCAAGATATCCTCTCATTTTTGTTGAATCTACAGGAAAGGAAGTGAAGGGAAACTACCTTGGCACTTGGAAAGAAAATACTCCAGTAGTTTCTACTCTACCATACTATATCCAAAATGAAAAGAAAGTTCAGGCTTTAGATACACTTAGTGCTAACTCTAGTGCCAAACATAATGGTAAAACAAAGCCTACCATTGCCTCTAATGCTAATCCTCAGCCTTTGTTGACAAACAATGCCATGTGATTGCCATGTCAGTATTGGTGGTGAATTGTTTTGTTTATCAACAAAGTCACATGATCCCTATGTCATTGCTGGCTACTGTACAGAGTACAAGATAATATAAAAAAAAAAAAAAGTATGTATTTAAAGTGGTTCTAAAGGCTGAAGGCTTTTTACCTTCATGCATTCTATGCATGAAGGTAAAAAAGACTTCCATGTGCAGCTCCCCCCCCCAGCCCACCCTAATACTTACCTGAGCCTGATCTCTATTTAGCAAAGTATACAAGAGCAGCCATTCAGCCATTGGCTCCTGCTGCTGTCAATCACAGCCAGTGAAGAAGGAGTGGGGGGGAGAGACGCTTTGTGTGTTCCACAGACACACAGAGATGGCTCGGGAGCAAGTATACACTAGTGCATCCAGAGCAAGCAGCTTGCTCTGAGGGGGATTAGCAAGGGAGGGGCAGGTGGGGGACCCAAGAAGAGGAGGACTGGGGCTGCTCAGGTAAGAATGATGTGTTTTTTATTTTAAAGAAAAAAAAATTAGCCTGAAGAATCACTTTAAACTAGCTATATTTAAAATACATGTATTGATTTGTATGCATACAACTGGGTTAAAGAATTTTATTTTAGTATTTGCCTTAACTTTCACTTTAAAGAAACCTGCCATGGAAAGAACAAGTAGGCTGCCAATGCTGATTGAGAAAATAGTTACCTGGCTGTCATAGCAACCATCTTGCTTCAAAATTTAAATCAGTGACCTGGAACAAGTTATGCAGATAAGGAATGATGAATATTCTCTTACTATGGGTCACCATCATAGCAACCATTTTTCTGTAGGAGGTCAGCAGTAAGGAACATCCATATTTTTCATTCATCCTACTCCCTTGCAAGTGTGACTGGTATTGTCAAAGTAAGGACCATTCTATTGTGTGTATTAATATATGTAGATATTTATATCTGTATAGAGAAAGTTACATCTGATGTATAGTTTTTACTGTCCGTGGAAGTCCATGTTGTACAGATACTTAGAAAAGCTTTCTGACTCAAATTAGAAAAACTCTCTCCACATTTGTATTGATCTATGCACCCGTGATGTACAGAATATATAGTCAACATTACATGTATATCTTACAAATCACTGTGGCAGAAATAGCTTTTCTAACATTGGTGGAATGTGATTTTTTGCTAGTTTATTCAATGTATCTTGAAGCAGTGGGATGCTACACACCTGTTAAGTTAACCCTTTTGTTCTTATGTATAGTTTTATCTCATAATTTTATTAGTTTAGCCAAGCAAGAAAGACTGTTCATACATTTTTGAAATACTGTATTATTGTGTTGCTCTATTTAGTTAATCTGCTTTTGTAAACCCTTGTATATTGTTCTAATATTATTATTATTATTTGTCATTTTGCTTCTTAAAGTTTCCTAACATGCAAATCAAGTAATCTGACAGGGTTTTGACTAATTTCAGATTATTTTTTTTTTTAAGAAAATTTAATCCATGTTTTAGTTTCTTAGGTGTAGAAAATTGGTGTTGTTAGTTCCTCCATTATGCCTTTAATTGTAATAACTGATTCTAGAATTTTGCTGCAGCTGCTTGATAACAGCCTGTGTCCCTACTGTAAGTATTTCTTCACCCCATAATAAATTTGCCATGCCCATTATAGTACATGTAATTTTGTATATATACTTGTGTATAACAGAACCCCTCTTGTTGATTGCTTAAACCTTTTAAACTAAGGGCCTATTTCTGTGCAAAGTGAGGCAACCTTACTTTCTCTTTGTTTTTTGAAAAAATTTT